CAATAGGAGCAGGAGAAGCTAATGTTCCTGAAAATCATATTAACCTGTTGACCATCAGGAGGAGCAGTTTTAAAGTTTAAAAGCTCCGGGAGAAGCTAAGCTAAGATGTAGCTATGCAGCAGAGATTTACTCAGATACTTTGTGTAAAAAGAGCGCGTGTCTGTGTCTCTGACCAGAAGACGGACTTCTTGTGCAGGACATCCTGCAGCCGGAGCTGGGTGGCGCTGTCCAGTCTGGAGAAGTCATATTGAGGACAAAAGTCTGCAGGAGGGGGAGTTGTAAACAAGACTTCGAAGGACGAAGTGGGAAAGTCCACCTACGGCGAGTTACAGAGAGGAGAGAGACAGAAAGTCAGACAGACAGAGATTCGGTCAGTCAGACACAGGCAGTCAGACAGACAGTAAAATAGACAGAGACAGTCAGGCAAGCAGTCAGACAGACAGTAAAATAGACAGACAGAGACAGTCAGGCGAGCAGACTCAGACATATAGGCAGAGACAGACAGACAGACACACAGTCAGACATATAGACATTTAGGCAGGCAGACAGACAGAAATAAAGACAGAGGGACAGTCAGTCGAACAGACAGTCAAGACAGACAGATAGACAGAAATAATGTTGCAAAACAGTTGCTAGGGGTCCGTCAGCCCAGAACACTGACAGGGGGCGCTGACATTTTTCAACGTGTGTACCTGTACGATCACACTGTCTGGTTGACTAAAGTTTGGTAAACTCGTCCGAGCGTTTCCACTCCTGCCTGGAGTCGAAGGCCACAATCCCAGTAACTTCCTGCCACACGTCAGGACACTACACACACACACACACACACACACACACAACAACACAGAAGGAGGAACAAGAAGCAGTCAGTACAGCGGAGAGAACAACAGCATCAGTGACACAAACTGATTTTGTGAGCCTTCGGGGGGGAAAAAAAAAAAAAAAAAAGATGATGTTAGACATAAGACCAGAAACAGAACGTTATTAGAAACTAGAGCAGAGTGAATGACAAGGGTGTAATGTGACTCACTGTCTGAAGTTAAAGAGCGACATGGTGACCCAGCCCAGAGTCTCAATGCTGCGGCGCTGCTTCCCCTTCTCCCCCGCCTCTCCGGGTGGAAGCAGGGAGCTGGCAAACAAGGTGACGCTGAGCTGAGACTCTCGAGGCAGCTGGTTGATTTGCACGGGAAAACACACCCTGCAGGTGGAGAGCGTGACCTGCAGCTCAGATCGTGTGATGTGAACATTTTTGAAACACTGACATGTATAAACAGTCTGAGCTGTAATTTGAATTTGGGGGGGGGGGAAAAAATGTGTTTTATCAATGGAACCACCGGTCTAGCTTCGGGCCCAGGAACCTACCTTTGGTCCCACACCACCAGATGGAACAGGTACTTGCTGACTGACTGCTTACTGGTGTGCTGGGGTGCGCATAGCTCAGCCCCTCCATGAGTCAGAGAGCAGGACAAGAAGAAGCTCTCATAACTGACCAATCAGAGAAGAGGACAGAGAGAGGATGTCGGGGATAAGTCTGACATATAATAATGCGAGAGAGAGAGTGTGTGTGTGTGTCTTTACCTGGCAGCCCAGGTGATGGGAATCCTGTGTGCAGCATACACGTTAAAGGAGAGCACATTGGTAACAAGGCCCACCTCCTGCACTGGAGCAGAGTGACAAAGACTCTGTGGCGTCATGGTGTGGAAGTTGGCGTTGAAAGTGCTGCAGTAAAGCTCCACCAAATCCAATATGGCCACCGTGAGCTTTTCCACCACATTTTCTAACAAAAAAAAAAAAAAGGATGCAGCTGCAGCATGAGAACAGAGCCTAAGATACTGACACTGGTCACAGGGAGAACATCATGTGATTTTTTTTTTTGTACTACTTGTACCTCGGTTCTCCCTGACCGCAAGCACCGATGCATCCTGGGGAGTCGGGGGAAAAATTGACAGACATTTGTGTAAGACGTATGTACAGTGGGCTTCCCATAAGTCACAATTCCATTCTCACTTTTAAAACTTTTGGTTGCAGGCGACAGGGGCATGCTGGGAGCTGGCTGAGGGCAGAGGTGATATCAGGAGTTTCCACAGAGGCCAATGAGCTGCAGAGTGCCTTCACTGATTGGACAAGGCGTTCCACGTGCAGTGGCAGCTCTGCCTACAGGGAGATACATAGGATAAAAATGAGGTAACTCTTTAAGAGGAAGACGGTTCACCTTGAGAACAGAAACCATAGTCACCTCAGTGAGCAGGAAACACTCCGCCTCAGTATGGAATGTGTCTAACAGCAGAGTCAGAGCCTCCCTGTAATTCAAAGTCAGAGATATTAGTTCACAGCCCATGTCCATAAAGAGAATTAGTGGTTTTAGCTCAGACCAAAGTCCATAGAGAAAATCAGTGATTTTAGCTCTAGACCAAAGTCCATAG